GGAAAGAGTCATTGGCTCAGCTCCTCCTGGTACACTGTGGCAACTAAACATTTAAACAGTTGGCTACACTCTACATGTAAACAGGAAATTGCAACAAGCCAAAAAGGTAATAAATTGGTGGATGTAGTGTAATAATGAAAAACCCAATCAATGGCATTTTGTGACTATGGCATCCTTCAAAATACCTCTGGCATTTGAGACTGATTGGCTGAAAGTCTAAACATTTCTGAATGGAGCAAAAAGGACTACGCTGGGCTCCAAGAATTATTCTGATGCTTAGCTAAAATGAGATGTCACAGTATTAGCTGTACAAGTGCATTACTTACGCTCCTCTGCCCCACCTCGTCTGAGCTACCAGCAGCACAGTCAGGGAGTGTCAAAGCAAGAATACAATTTCGAACATTTCTAGCCTGTTCCCTCCCGACAGGTTTACCTACACGCTTCTCGGGAAGCTGACCAGTGCCTTCTGAGAGAACGTCACTTCTCACACGACACAGAGCGGGCACTTGGGTAGAAGGGCCCTGCTGAGCCCTGGTGACTCTTGGCCTCTCTTCTCACCCTTCTTCCTCACCTACAAGTCTTTGAAAATGCCTCTTGGCAGAGACAATACCCTAGAAATGTATCCAATTTAATGACAAATAAAAATGGAACAGAAGATCCAGCTGTTCCTCCCCTGGATGTTGGTTTAAAGGCAGCTCGCCTGGTTTTTGCAGGGTGGCAGTTCGAAATTTATGGACATGGGAGGAGGTCTCCATTCTCCCTCAGACTTCCTACGGATTGCGCGATGAGGGCAGTCTGAGGCCCTTCTGTCCTGTCAGTGTGATGACCACCAGCCAACTCTTCTGACTAATTGCATATATTTCTCAGACGCCCTCCCAAGACCCCTCCAAAAAGTAAAAAACAACAGCAACAACAACAAAAAAAAAAACAAAACAAAAAACCACCCCCCCCAAACCCTGCAGCCAAATACTATGACATCCCAGTTAGTAAACACAAAACGTAATGCTTTACAAAATGAATACAATATTCCATGTGCACCCAGCTTCCACACGTCAGCACCGCACTGAGGAGGCTGCTGGGCTGGTGTCTGTAGGCAGTTTCTGTTGGCAGACAGCTCCAGTGGAATTGCCACCCTCAGTTATTGTTTAAGTTATGTATAAGACATGTGTGAACCATTGGATATTTGTGAAGTAACACTTGTGCTCCTGCTCATGCCCTGTTCCGTCCGTCCCCCAGAAGCTGTCCGCCTCAGAGCCTGGGGGCTGTTGCGGACCCCTATAGCACTACTTCGAGGTACCCCCTGCATGGGCCCCGAGGGGTGACCCCATGGCTGGGGTCCACCTTGCATTGGATGGCCCCAAGCTTGTGGTGGGCCACCCATGGGATGACCCCAGTGAGGTCCTGCACCCCCAGTAGGATTGTGGGACCAGCCAGAAGCTCCCGGGTAGCTGTGGCTGAACGCCTCGGGGGAGAGATTAGAAAGAACCATATTACTAAAACCTAGCCTCATGCTTTCTGAGTCAAAGGCTTCGATCTCGCGAGCTTGACGCTCCAGCAGGCTTCGTATCCGTTCGGTACGCTCGTTCTGCAACGCCAGCATCTCCTCCTCAATCTAGGAAGGAAAAAAGAAGAGACAGTCTGTAGCAGCAGGACTCCTTAACAGGCATGGCCTCAACTCTCTGAAGGACTTGTAAGAGCAAACTAACGAGGAACCTTCTCCCAATGTTTCTACATGAGACTGGATCCAGATCAGATGTCCATTGACACACAATCTGTTCTGAATGGTAAATCCCATAGACCTGCACACACCAAAGCATGGTGAACACCAGTTGGAGGGTCCTGGTCAATACAGAAGTTTTAGGGATGCAAAGCCGAAGTCTGCAGCAATACTAACAGCTTGACATAGGTTAATCTTTTACGATGCAGCAAAGTCTACAGCTTCCATAAAAGCCTACCGGAAAAGCACCTTCAGATAGAGCCAAGCACAGTGCCTATACACTCAAATACCTGCCAACACAGCTTAATGTGACCTTCGCTGTTGGTAGCTGAATCTGATGATGACGACTGCTATTTTCTCCAGGATTCAGTGTACAAGCCCACATTCAGTTTCCTCTCCAACATTCACTGGCCAGATTTTCTTAGCTCATGTTTATCACTTCCTATCTACCCCTTTCCTAAATTGGTTTCTCATGTTTCATTACCCACATACTTTCTTCCAGGGTGTGTGGCTGAAGAAAGCAGGCAGTGGTGTTTGAATTGTGTGGCAGATTATTAGCGAGATGATATGCAAGCTGAAAACTCCAATTTCTTCCCCCCAGTGCTGTTCCAAATTGGTTTCCAATGGTACTTTGGTAGGGGCACTGGGATCAGCTCTAAGTACAGAAAACATGGGGCTATGGCCCCCTGACAGACATCAGACAAGGATGAAAGCCTCTCTTATTGAAATCTTTGCAGTCAGGTGAAGAACCAAAGAATCACTCCTTTATCTTCTTGCCAGCACTGAAAAAGCTACTTTTGGCCTCGGTGAAAAAGACCAAATGGATAAAAAGCAGCAGCCAAGACTTTTAGCATAGCTCACTGGCATGTCCCCTGCTGTCAGCAGCAACTCGGCCAAGAGGTGTTATCTTGGTCTGTGCTGAAGGTACCGGGCAGAGCTTGTACTTGTAAGCGCTCTCTTGCCTTAGTCAGGGAATATGCAAAGTGATTTCATCTGGAATTTAGGAAACAATCTGCTCCAGCGTGACTCATCTCCTGAGCCATTTGGGGCTTTCAGAAACTGCCTTATCCACTTGCTTGTTTCTTAGCGCTGGGTGAGTGACACTGACTCTCTCCATGGAGCAGCCTTGCTCAC